AAAATAAATACACAATGCCTATGGCAGTGAAAAATTAATTCTAATCACTAAGCAACAAGTAGGTCCAGCTGAGAAGCACAAGAGGTCTTAAGGTTCAAGTTCAAAGTGCTCTGATCCTTCAGTTTGAGGCATGCAATCACCAGAGCCCTAACTCTTCAGCAATACCTAGAAAAGGCCAACTCCGGTACATGTACCAACGGGGCCCTGAAGGGAACATATCTACCATTATTTTGATGTTTTTATCAGTAGAACCTGAAGATGAAAAAAGTGCCATTCAAAAGTTAGAAGAAAACATGCCATGAGGAAAAGTCTCATGACATTAGACTTGACAAGATTTCTTGAATGACACCAAAAGTACAGACAACAACAACAAAAAGTGGGTAAGTTGAACTTCAAAGGACACTATCAACAGAGTAAAAAGGCAACCCACAGAATTGGAGAAAATATTTAGAAATCACATATCTGATAAGGAACTGATGTATAGAATATATGAAGAATTCCTACAACTCAACGAGCAAAAGAAAAAATCAACCTAATTTCAAAATGGGTAAAGGCCCTGAATGGTGTGGATCAGTGGGTTGGGCATTGTCCTGAAAACCAACAGGCTGCCAGTTTGACACAGGGCACATGCCTGGGCTGTGGACCAGGTCCCTGGTTGGGGCCTGTGAGAGACAACTGATTGATGTTTCTCTTGCACATCAATGTTTCTCTCCCCTCTTCTCCCTCCCTTCCCCTCTCTCTAAAAAATAAATAAATGAAATCTTTTTTTAAAAATGAGCAAAGGACTTAAACAGACATTTCTCCAAAAAAGAGATACAAATAGCCAACTAGCACATGAAAAGATGCTTACCATTACTATTCATTACAGAAGTGCAAATCAAAACCACAAGATACAACTTCATACCCATTAAGATGGCTATTATAAAAGAAAAAATTTTTAATTCACTTTTTTTTAAAGATTTTATTTATTTATTTTTAGAGAGGGGAAGAGAGGGAGAAAGGGATGGAAACATCAATGTGTAGTTGCCTCTAGTGCGCCCCCTACTGGGGACCTGGCCTGCAACCCAGGCATGTGCCCTAGACTGGGAATTGAACCAGCAACCCTTTGATTCTCAGGTCAGCACTCAATCCCCTGAGCCACACCAGCCAGGACGAAATAAATTTTTAAAGAAAATCAAAACTGTTGCCCCAACCTGTGTGGCTCAGTCTGCTGGGCGTCGTCCCACAAACCAAAAGGTTGCTGGTTCAACTGCCTGTCAGGGCACATGCCTGGGTTGCAGGCCAGGTCCCCAGCTGGGGGCACATGAAAGGCAACCACACATTGATGTTTCTCTCCATTTCTCCTTCCCTTTCCCTCTCTCTAGAAATAAATAAAAAATATTAAAAAAAAGAAAGAAATGTAAATATACAAGTATAAAAATATCAATAGGAGGATGCTTGTTGCAGTGTTATTTGTAAGAGCAAAAACTGCAAAAAACTGAATGTTTATCAATCAAGAAATAATCGGATAATGGTAATTCACACTACAGAATGAAATCATTAAAAATAGTTAGGTTTGTCTGTATCACACTATATATTAAATAAAAATTAAGTTGCAGACAAAATGCATCATAATAATAGCCAACATTTAAATGGTCCTGATAACGTGTCAAACAGTGTTCTAAGAACTTTTCACATGTTATCTCATTTAATCCTCACAATCTTTTAAGATTAGGTACTATTATCCCATTTCAAAGATGAGGAAGTCCAGGCATAGTGAGGTTGAGTAACCTCCCCAAAGTGAAACTGCAAGTAAATAACTAGAGGCTGGAATGGAATCCAAGCACTCTGGCTCTAGAGTAACAGCAGGTGATCATATAGTATACTGTCTCTAAACATAAGTCTGTGTGTGAATATACATATCTGTGTATGTATTTTGAATATATCTATATGATATATATGTTTAGGCATGTATATAAAGATATATCTATATCAATAGATGTTGGTATATCAATATATAAACTTAGGAAATGGAAGGAATACCCACCAAATTATTAATAATGATTATAACTCTGGGCATTGAGTAGGATGAAAAAAGTAGGGGGATTTTTATTTATTTATATAGTCGTGTGTGTGATTATGTATTGGTGATTTTCAGTATCTTTCCAGTAAGTTTTTTTCCAATTTTTTAACTGTGGTAAAATACACATAACAAAATTTACTCTTTTAACCATTTTTGAATGTACAGTTCAGTGACATTAAGTACATTTACATTGTTGTGTTACCATCACCACCATCCATCCACATAACTCTTTTCGTGTTGCAAAACTAAAACTCCATATCCATTCAATAATAACTCCTTACTTCCTCCTCCCCCCAGCTCCTGGCAACCGCCAATCTACCATCTGTCCATATGAATCTGACTACCGTAGGGACCTCATATAAATGGAATCATACAATATTTCTTTCTTGTGATTGGTTTATTCCACTTAGCATAATATCCTCAAGTTTCATCCATGTCGTAGCATATGTCATAATTTCCTTCCTTTCTGAAGTGGGTAATATTCTATTTATGTACATACCACATTTTGCTTATCCATTCATCCATCAAGGGACATTTGGGTTGCTTCCATGTTTTATCTATTGTGAATTATGCTGCTATAAGCATGGCTGTATATAAATGTCTATTTGAGTGCCTGATTTCACTTCGTTTGGGTATATCCAGAAGCAGAATTGCTGGATTATATGGCAATTCTATGTTTTATATTTTGAAGAACCATCATACAAAAAATTTCTACAATTGAAGCTACATGTTTTCCACAAGAAATGTAGCATTTTATATTTCCCACCAGCAATGTGCACAAGGGTTCCAATTTCTCCACATCCTCACTAATACTTGGTATTTTCTGTTTTTTTTTTATCGTCGACAATGAAGTGATATCTCACTGTAGCTTTGATTTGCAGTTCCCTAATGATTAGGGATGTTGCTCATCCTTTCATGTGATTATTGGCCATTTGTATATCTTCTTTAGAGAAATGCCTAATTAACTCCTTTGCTCATTTTTGTTTGTTGTTGTTGAGTCGACTAGGTTTTGAAACAAAAAAAAAAAATTAAGTTGAGAGAAAAAGGTTCTCCCTGCGACCATCCACTAAAACCGTATCTAATCAGCTAGTGTCTGCAGAATAAGACCTGGATTTACAGCTCACCATTTCCTGAGGTCTCAGGAGTCATTTAAAATTTCAGCAATTGAACCAGTATCTACAATCCTCACCACCGCATCCCCGCCCCCGCCCCACCCTTTCCCGAGTGTGCAGGTGCGCACGCATAGGGGCCAATCACCAGTTCTGTTTAATCACCCTTCATTTCTCTTTCTGCCAATGGGTTTGTGAGACAGTCGAACACCTTCCTGTACGATGAGCAATTATTTAATTGAAAACTCTTACTGAGTTGCCTTCTGCCTGTTCTTCTTCAGCCTAAATTTTCCAAAAGCCTTAGGAAATGGTTTTGTCTCAGCGCTATAATTAACTAGTAGAGAGGGGAAAAAAATGACAGACTCTTTGGTCCCACGAAGAGGGGGCCTTGGTACCGCTAGTCAAGCGGCAACCCCCGCATACGAAGCAGCCTTTTCGAACTCCAAATCCCGACGTGCACCAAGGCATGGGTGGAAACCTTTTCTGAAACTGCAGGATCAGCAGATCTAGAATTCAGACAGTTCTTGTACAAAAAAACGCGCGTGCCTTGCTGGAAAGCTGCTTGATTACCGAATGACGACGCCTAAACTCTCTTGCCTAGCCTCCACAGCGTCCCCACAGGCTTGCACTTCCCCAAGTCTGGTTTTCTCCCTGCAGCCACAGCCTCTTTCCCCAAATCGTGCTGTGCCTTTCAGGTGCGCGGGCCTTTGCGCTCAGAGTGCCTTCTGCCTGGAAAGCTTGCTGCTTAACTCCAGGCTCACTCGACTTTATTATGCACTTGGATCCATCCCTGTTCCCACTCTGATTGAAACAGAATAGGGTTTCAGTAAATGCTGATAGGCTGAATGAATGAATAATTAAAGACATAATGAAATAGTAATTTTTTATCACCCACATACTTTGGTAGAAAAATGGAGGAACTGCTAAGTCAGATCGTGTTCCAATACCAGTTTTTCCACTTATTAGATGGGTGAGCCTCACCCGCCCTTCTTAAAGTTCAAGAAATGTTTGTTGAGCCCTGGCTGATGTGACGCAGGGTTTTGTGTGCTGGCCTGCGAAGCGAAAGGTGCGGAGTCCATTCCTGGTCAGGGCAAATGCCTGAGTTGCAAGCCAGGTGCCCACTTCGGGGCATGGGAGAGGCAACCAATCGATGTTTCTCTTCCTCGTTTTCTCCGTTCCTTCCCCTCTTTCTTAAACAAACAAACAAACAAACAAACAAACAAATAAATAAAATCTTTAAAAAAAAAAGAGGCGGGGAGAGGAAGAAATGTTTGTTGAACTAATGAATAAAATGTTCTCGCAGACGTGTGACAAATTAAATCAGTTAACGGCTGTGTTGTATCTGGCCACAATCAGCGCTCAAGAAAATTACTACTCGCCCTACTATACCACGTTTTGTGATTAGGTAAACTGTGAGTTCCCGGAGGGAAGGGGATGTCTGACTCGGTCCCAAGCTCCCCAAGGTGCCGGATCACAGTAGGTGACTAGAATGACGGAAGACAATTGTTAACATGCTCGGGGCGGGAAAGATCACAAATCCCGAATGGGTCTGACCCCTTTGCAGAGACCACAAGTCTCATCATCCCGCAAGAATCTCAGCTTGTTCAGGTACAGATAAACGCCTAACATACTAGCAGATCGAGCCCCGCCCCCGACGTTTCAACAGGTCGAGTTCGGGGCGGCACCACCCCCTGCCTGGCTGCAACCTAGTGAGCCCTCTGCCTGGGCGCTGAGCGACGCATGCGCGTTCTTCTCTTCTCGTCTCCTCCCCCTTATTCTTAGTCTTTCGCGTTTCGGGTACTGGGTCCTTTTTGTCCCCTACTGCGTGCCGTGTTAGTTTACGTGCGGAAACGGTGGCCGTGAGAGAAGATGGCGACCTCTGTAGTGGTACCTCCTGGTGCGGTGGCCAGTAGGGCCAACAAGCGCAGTGTCGGCGGGCCGGGAGGCGGTGGCAGCGGTGGTGGAGCCCGAGGGGCCGAAGAGGAACCGCCGCCGCCCCTACAAGCAGTTCTGGTGGCGGATAGCTTCAACCGCCGCTTCTTCCCAATCTCCAAGGACCAGCCTCGGGTGAGCACCGTGCGCTGGAGCAGCCAGAAGGCCTGGAGTGGCGGGGATGGAGCTAGTTATCCTATCGTCTGCCTAGTGAGGCGTGCTCTGGGAGAACGTGTATCCAGCCTCTTTCCCTGAGGTCGGGTTTATCTAGTTACGAGGAAAGGAGACAGTTTTAAACACTGATGACTGCCTGACCAAATGAGTGGCTGGCAGACTTGTTAGTGCTATCTGTGTGAGGTTTAGGAGGCATGCAGAGGGCTAAATTGTAGAAGCAGTGCCTTTAAGAAGCCTTTGCCCTAGGATTCAACGCCCCAAGGGGAGGCTGCAAGGCCTTTAACTATGCGGAGGGAAAAAGAGATCTTTAAATGAAAGAGAGTATCACCCCTTTTGCCTCCAGAAAGGAGGTCATATGCCTAAAAAAGAACAGACTGGTCTGATCCCATAGTAACAGCTGTTCTGGATCTCGGTACAATGTGCTTTTTTCACCTTCCAGGTTTTAATGACAGCCAGTGCCGTCTGTCTAAAGGAGGACAGAATAGGTTTAGTGGCTGGTTGCCAGCAGCCTCTTTCTTGTTGTCTAGATACTGGGGAATTGGACTGAGCTAGTCCTGGGGATTGCTGGGCCACTCAGCCATCTCTAGTTCAGAAGGAATTGCATTCATTTCAGGGAAGAGTCTCCCTAACTCCTCACTTCCAGCAAAAAGCCTAATGGGTGTTCATTTTGGACAGGTGATCGAGGTTGGCTAGCCCGACTCTTAGGGATTAAGGAAGGAAATTTTATGGGGAAAAGGCCTTAGTGGTACTTAAGTTTCTGGAGATAAGATTGCTTTCCAGTATTCTTTACCAGATGTGGTGTCCTAATCTATAGCAGCTCTGTCTCTGATGCTGAACAAGTAGATTATACCTGTGGTTACTATATCCAAATTGTAACACTTTAGACTCTAATGCCTAGAGCATGATATGAACATCTAAGGCAGAAGCATGATTAATTTATGTCGGAAAGATAGAACAAAACTATAGTCTTTGGAAACACTGATATAGGAGTGAAAATTGTGGTTGTAGTGGAGGAAAGAATAGTAGGCCGATAGCCAGATTCAAGACTTCACCTTTTTTCCATCTCCTGCCCTCCAGGCCCTCTTGCCCCTGGCCAATGTGGCACTAATCGACTACACTCTGGAATTCCTGACTGCCACAGGTGTACAAGAAACCTTTGTCTTTTGTTGCTGGAAGGCTGCTCAAATCAAGGAACATTTACTGTAAGATCCTGCACCTTTTCTTTTTGTGTTTCACCATGTTTTTCCAGTTTTCTTAAGATGAATGTAACTAAATAAAGGGAAATTGTGAGGGGGGAAATGTGTCTATGTAGACTCCATCCTAAGGCCTAAGGGTATTGTAGTCACTTACCAAGTGGTGAGCAGCTGAAATTGTGACAAAGATTAAAGAGTTAACATTTGGGTTTTTTCTGAATCTCACAAAGTTTGGTCCAAGGGGGTTCTACCTATTATTTAATGGCTCTAATGTGGAAGTTATAGGAGTAACATCTTTGCTTTTCCACTGAACTTCTAAATATTGAGCTGTTCCTCATCTTTGTATTCCCAGTTCCTAGCTTAGTACCAAGCACATAATAAGCACTTAACAAACGCTCGGTGAAATCTTTTTGAAAAAGAGTGAATGTCAGGATTTATGGAAGCTTAGGATATAAAAGACTTGGATATTAGCATGGTCTTTATTAGACGGTTTCTAAATTTGGTCTGGATTTTGGAAGGAGAAAAGTGACATGAAAAGTATATTCCCAAGAAACTTTGTCTACTCTGAGTCTCAGCAGGATTTTAAATTCAAATCCATGTTTGGGGACAGGGGTCAGGCTATGGAGAGGAAATAACCGTGTTTCTCTCACCCATAAAACAAACCTGGTGACACAGGATGCTGAAACCATTCATTATAGTTCATAAGTCTCTTTGAAGTTGAGGGCGCTGGCAGGAACCCAGAAAAGCCATAGAGAAGGAATATGAATGTTGAGTGGGGGAGAAAAACAGGGAAGCCGTACGTGATCTTTATTTTTGATTTACTCATTCTCCACCCCGCTTCCTGTAGGAAATCCAAGTGGTGCCGCCCTACCTCCCTCAACGTGGTTCGTATAATTACATCAGACCTATATCGGTCACTGGGGGATGTTCTTCGTGATGTTGATGCCAAGGCCTTGGTGCGCTCCGACTTCCTTTTGGTATATGGGGATGTCATCTCAAACATCAATATTACCAAAGCCCTGGAGGAGCACAGGTCAGGATGGGAAAACGGAAGGGACAACAGTTTGGGATCAGCGGAATCCTAAGGCTCGCTTTCTCCTATCCTTTATAGGTTGAGGCGAAAGCTAGAAAAAAATGTATCTGTGATGACAATGATCTTCAAGGAGTCATCCCCAAGTCACCCAACTCGTTGCCATGAGGACAACGTGGTAGTGGCTGTGGATAGTGCCACAAACAGGGTGCTCCATTTTCAGAAGACCCAAGGCCTTCGACGTTTTTCGTTTCCCCTGGTGTGTGGGTATCTGGGTTCCTTGAGGCAGGAAGATGACAGGATTCAGCAAGAAAGCCAGGTTAAAGTCTTTGCACCCTCTCCCCACAGAGCTTGTTCCGGGGCAGTGGAGATGGAGCGGAGATCCGCTATGATTTACTGGATTGTCATATCAGCATCTGCTCTCCTCAGGTGAGCCCTTCAGGCCAGGACTGCACATCAAAGAGCAGAACTCTGAGGGTGTGTCACTCCTTCCTAGGAAGCCAGGATATATTTCTTCTCCCTCTTTTTCTTACCTGTTCCAGAGCAAATAGTTGCTGTCATTTTGACCCCAATATTAGGAGCCTTTTTGGGATTCTGGCCCATGCCCTTCTGTCACAGGGTCTGATAGGTCTCTGGGGGCTTATCTTTGCTTCCAGTGAATAGCATTTAACTTTGTCCATCCAACTCCCCCCTCCAACCCCCGCAGGTGGCTGAACTCTTCACAGACAACTTTGATTACCAAACTCGGGACGACTTTGTGCGAGGCCTGCTAGTGAATGAGGAGGTAAGAAAGGTTCCCAATGCCTCTTTAAAAGAGGGCTAAGATTTTGTCTCATGCAGACAACTTTTGGTCCCGTTTTGTGGAGGGAGGAAAATACCTGGGGTGGGAGGAAGCAATTCACAAAGAAAAGTCTCAGGCCATTTGGCTGTGACATTGAGAGGCAGAGGGGAACTTAAGGTAAGAAAAATGTTGTGCCTGGGGGCGTTCTTCCTCACGTGCTTGAGTGACCTCCCTCTCTTTGTCCTCATTCAGATCCTTGGGAACCAGATCCACATGCATGTGACAACTAGGGAATATGGTGCCCGGGTCTCCAACCTACAGATGTATGCAGCTGTCTGTGCTGATGTCATCCGCCGATGGGTCTACCCTCTCACCCCTGAAGTGAACTTCACTGACAGCACAACCCAGAACTGCACTCATTCCCGGCACAACATCTACCGAGGGCCTGAAGTCAGCCTGGGCCATGGCAGCATCCTGGAGGAAAATGTGCTCCTGGGCGCTGGCACAGTCATTGGCAGCAATTGCTTCATCAACAACAGCGTCATTGGCCCTGGCTGTCACATTGGTGAGCACAGGTGGGGAAGTCAAGCCAGCTGTCCTAAGAGCAGGAACCTGGGGAGGCCCATGACTCCGGAGAAGGAGACGGATACTCCCTGAGAATAAGGAGCCAGAGTGGCTCCCCCAGTAAAGGAGGGAACAGAGATGTGAAAACAGTGATGCTTTAATTTGTGACCTGTGAGCTTCATATTGGATGATTCTTCACATTCCAGGGTACCCTATATTCATACTCAGGAACAAGTGGATAATTAACATGTAATAATAGCTGTGCATCACAGCTTACAAAGACCTTTTGCGTACATTATTTCTTTTAATCCTCACTAAAACTTTGTGAGGTAGGTATTATTTATCCCAGTTTACAGATAAACAAACTGGCTCAAAGAAGTTGTTTTGCTAATAAGAAGCAGTGCAGGAACCTGAATCTGAGTATTCTGATTGTTAAGTCCAGTGTTCTTTTTACTCTACCATACTGCCTGGTTAGCCTCTTGGTAGTAAGAATGTGACGCTTTAAATGGAACTGACCCTTTAAAAGAACAACAGTAAGTTTCTAATTCTAAATGTACAAGAAGAGGTGAAATAGATAATGGACGTGATTCTAATAAGGTTCTTGGGTTCCAGGGGTCCCCAGAAATCTTGAAGTTTCTCAGGTTCTTAAGTCCTGTGTGATAGTCTGTAATTGTCATAAACCTAGTGAAAGATGGTCAAGCTGAGTAATGTTCTACTCTCAGGCCTGGGCTTAGAGGGGAAGAGGGTGTTTCTGGTGAGGTAGGGGATGGAGTGTTTGAGCTGGGTGGGAGTTGTCCTGGTGTCAGTGAGTCGTGTCTTCCAGGAATGGTCCTGGTCTGAAGTTGGAGCCCTGAGTGACCAGGAGTTCTTCCTGTCCTGAGCCAGGTGATAACGTGGTGCTGGACCAGGCCTACCTATGGCAGGGTGTTCGAGTCGCTACTGGAGCACAGATCCATCAGTCTCTGCTTTGTGACAATGCTGAGGTCAAGGAACGAGTTACATTGAAGCCACACTGTGTCCTCACTTCGCAGGTGAGAACCTGTTCCATACTGCATACATGCCCCAAGCTGAGTGGTCTTCATGCTAAGCCAGAAGGGACCTGTATCCAGCGATAGCCCAGGCTGAATTGAGAGTCTAAATCCAGTGGTTTCATTTTCCATCTACTTGACTTACTTAAAAAAGTCACTCTCTAGCCCTAGCTAGACTTAGTGGATTGAGTACTGACCTGAGAAGCATGGGTTCACTGGTTCAATTCCCAATCAGGACACATTCCTGGGTTGTAGGCCAGGTCCCCAGTAGGGGGCGTGTGAGAGACAACGAGAGACAACTGCACATTGATGTTTCTCGCCCTCTCTTCCCCTCTAAAAATAAAGTCTTTAAAAAAAAGAAGTCACTCTCACTGTCAGGATGCACTTTTCCCCAACACACTACTGGATCTTTGCCACCCACTCCTTTTTTCTCCCCTAGGTTGTAGTGGGCCCAGACATCACACTGCCTGAAGGTTCGGTGATTTCTTTGCACCCTCCAGATGCAGAGGAAGAGGAGGATGATAGCCAGTTCAGTGATGATTCTGGGGCTGACCAAGAAAAGGAGAGAATGAAGCTGAAAGGTGTGAGGCTCAGCAGGTGTGGGGCATCTATGTGTCTCTCTGCGCCATAGAAAAACAAGTGTGTCCTCCTGGAGGAACTGGTACTTCCACTGGGCCTTTGCTAAAGATCAGTGCCTTTCCAGGTTACGATCCAGCAGAAGTTGGAGCTGCAGGCCAGGGCTTCCTCTGGAAAGCTGCAGACATGAGCATGGAAGAAGAGGAGGAACTACGGCAGAATCTATGGGGTGAGCTGAGTCTTACCCTGACACACACACAGGCGCATGCGCACACACCACCCTTTCTAAATCAGAATATTTTGAAGAACAATCAAATTACTTGTTCCCTCCTTTTTTCATGCAGACAGGGCATATATATGACTCTCTGTCAATGGCTCTTTCCTTATTTTTCCTTTTTCTCACCCTTTATGGGTTCTCAGGACTCAAAATCAATATGGAAGAAGAGAGTGAAACTGAAAGCGAACGAAGTATGGATTCTGAGGAGCTCGATAGCCGAGCAGGCTCCCCACAGATGGATGACATCAAAGGTGAGTGGCCAGGGAAGCAGTATCTTGGGACAAAAGAGGAAAACCTCCTGTTTATTCTTTATCTGGATCAACTAGCCAAAGACTTGTGTTCCTCCCAGGAAGGGTTTGGTATGAAGTCAGGACTAGAGGACAGTACGTTCTGGAGTGATGCGGGCCCTTAAACTCATTGTTACTTTGATTTTAGTGTTCCAGAATGAAGTCCTGGGAACACTACAGCGGGGCAAGGAGGAGAACATTTCTTGTGACAATCTCGTCCTAGAGATCAACTCTCTCAAGTAAGAGCAGCCCCTTCCTATTTTCTCCTCTTGGGATAATCTCAGGCAGATAGAGGTTCCCCTGTTTCTTCCCTACATAGGAACCTGTTCCCTTGACATCCCAAATGACAAAGCCAGTAGCATTTGGGGCAAGGAGAGCACTAGGTTTTAGCCTCAGCATAAATTCCCCTTACCAAAATCTTCCCCCTCCATGTGTTCCATCTGACTTCCTCTTCCCCAGTTTCCTGCCAAAGTCAGTCCTACGCATGCTGAAAGGGCCAGCGAAGGCCCTGGTGTCACCACGGTCTCCCCACAGGTACGCCTACAACATAAGCCTCAAAGAGGTGATGCAGGTACTGAGCCACGTGGTCCTGGAGTTCCCCCTGCAACAAATGGATGCTCCGCTTGACCCGAACCGCTACTGTGCCCTGCTGCTTCCCGTGAGCAAAGATTGGGGCTGGGTGCAAGAGATTGGGTAGAGGCAGATGCACATCCTTGCTGTGGTGACTTGAAAAGAAATCAGGAGTAGATGGTCTTGTGGGATATTATGTTACTGTGGTTCCTTTCTCCTTACCTCTGGTAGCAGATTTGATTCTAGAGCAGCCATAGCTGGCCCAGAGGAGTCAAGTTAGGTTCAGTATTGAGTGGCTTTTGAGATTCCAGGATTCAGATCATACCAGATCCCAAAGGCATGCCTAGAATAGACCTGGACTTTCAGACTCTCTGACTATATGATTTGACCCAGAATGAGATCAACCTGTAGGCTTGGAATAGGTATTCTTGGGACAGTCTGCATTTTTGATCTCCTTTCACCTTCCTGGGGAACCAGTTTTTTCCCCAACCCTGACTGCTGTCAATTCTTAAGTCCTTCTGACATGATTCCACAGGACCTATGTAATCTCCCTCTTGTTTTTCCACATCATGAAAGATGCCTGTTATCAATATTGATTTTCTTTGCTATTCAAATGTAGGTATGTGCTCAGGAATGTATTGAAGCTCTCTTCTCTTTTCTTCCATAGCTGCTCAAGACCTGGAGCCCTGTTTTTAGGAACTATGTAAAACGTGCAGCTGATCATTTGGAAGCACTGGCAGCCATTGAGGACTTCTTCCTGGAGCATGAAGCTCTTAGTGCTTCTGTGGCCAAGGTGACTATCACTGCAAGCCTCATAATCCTACATCCGCTTTAAAACAGGTCTTGGCAGGTCCCTGGTTGGGGGTGTGCTGGAGATAACCAATTGATGTTTCTCTCACACATTGATGTTTCTATCCCTCTCTTCCTCCCTTTCCCTCTCTCTGAAAATAAAGAAAATCTTTTTTAAAAAGAAAACAAGGAAACAGGCCTTGGTGAAGTTCATAGAGACACAAAACACAGACTGACATGAATCCAATATCAGTTAACAGCTCCATCCACCCCTGGTATTGTGCTTGTTGCTCGGATAGTACAGCTTGGAGCCAGGCTAGGAAGGTAGCCACTTGGAAGTTGCCCTGGGAATGTGCGAAGCACTACCCAGCAGTAGTTGCGGAAGTTATACCTGTCCCAGTACCACAGTGAACAGCTTACTATTGTCTGTTCTGGAGGAGACTGTTGGCTATGTAGAATGAAGCTGAGGACCTGGTAGAGAGAGGTGCTAAGATCTTGCCTCCTCCTCTGTCATCCATTATATCTTGCTGGACTCTGGTCCCTGAGATCTCTGCTGGCCTTCTGCAGGTACTGATGGCTTTCTACCAGCTGGAGATCCTTGCTGAGGAGACAATTCTGAGCTGGTACAGCCAAAGGGATACAACTGACAAGGGCTGGCAGTTGCGCAAGAACCAACAGGTGAGCAGGCTGCCGTCTCACCATAGGTTGTCTGGTTTCTTGGACCTTGGCCCACAGGGTGGTTGGTCCCTGGGACCTTGTGGCTGTTTGAGCTGTTTATCCACTACAGAGAACAAGAGGATTATGTGCTTGTCCTCAGTAGCTCACCACTGTGCTTTCTTACAGCTGCAGAGGTTCATCCAGTGGTTAAAAGAGGCAGAAGAGGAGTCATCCGAAGATGACTGAAGTCGCCCTGCCTGTTCCTGTGGGTGTGGTTAAAAGCCCTCCTGGTTTCTGGACGGGGCGAGTAGGAGGCTAGTTACAGAAGATGAGTCATCACCATTCTGGCTGAGACTTACCAAGGAGCAGAGGCTGGAACTACAGTATTCTCCCCACCGCCAGCAGCCGTGTGCCTCACATCCTGATTGGGGAGCTTGGACAAGGGAAGCTGGGCTGAAACAAAGCTCTGCCTCCGGAGGAGCCAGGCAGGCCCTGCAGTTAGAGGAAGGCCAGAGGCATAGCTTTGTGCTTTGGCTTTCCCTCGGGAAACAGCAGAGAGCAGCTGGCCCTCTCTGCAGCTTGTATTTGTTAATATTAAAAAAGAAAGAGAGGGGTTGTGTTTGGTTTTTCTCCAACTCTGACTGATCAGCTTTTGAAGTAGGTGGCCAAAGAGTTATGAACCTGTGACCTGGCAGCCTTCCATTAACACCTGGCAGGGAGGGAGAAGAGGGATATTATGGCCACTAGGTGGTACTGTGGTGCCTTGCTAATTGGTGCCTTGGCTCATGGGTAATGGAGGACCTAGATTCTTTTCTGGCCTCTGTGGATCAATTTGCGGTCCTGGAGTAGCATGCCTGAGCCTGTTTCTACAGAGTGTCCTGGTCTGAGCATTTTTCTATCAGCGAATGATGATACCAAGCATGTGTAGAGTCTGTTAACCACCTGCCAGTCCCTCATGCTTTGTCCAGTTGATCCAGTACTACTTACTGTCAGGGAAGCTGGGCTACTCTTCATATTAAAGATGAGAAACGTGCTCAAGGTTGCATCACTCTTGAGGCGTAAGGCTAAGGATTTGAGACTCATCCAGAATTCTTTCTACTTCAGATTTAGTGGCTAGGTGAAGGGAATTGGCCCACCGGCCAATATAACCCCAAGACAGCAATGGCTATCTTAAGGAGGAAGATCTTGCAAAATGGGGTTTTACCTAGTATTGAGAGTATTTGCTATATAATAGACATTTTGCTAAAAACTTTTCATGTGTTATTTTTAGTTATGATGTAGGCTTTATTCCCATGTTCACATGAGCCTGAAGTTCAGAGAGGTCCCATAACTAGTAATTGGTAGGGCCAGGATTTGTTACTGGATGTCAGAACTGGAGTTTGTCACTGCTGTATTGTGTACTTTAACTTCACCCATATGCCTTTCTATCTTATGTTTTTGAGCTCATTGTTGTCTACACATAACCCTTGCTCTGTTGACACTTTAATTGTGGCAAATGTTACTAGTAACAAGTGGCCCTCCTGGAAATCACAGATAAAATGGTTGCCTCCCTTCATTTTGGCTGGGTGCAATGGAGTTAGCCGAAGAAGAGGATACTGAACTATACTCAGGGGGTGTGAAAGGGCGTTCCTGAGTATTTCTAAAGAAAATACAGGCTGGCCAGGATTTGGCTTTATTTTCTTATTCAGTAAATCCGTTTCTGCTTTGTCAGATATAGGATCTAGTGTCTAGTGAGCACATGAAGGTCATGTGGACCTAATAGGGTCAGTTAAATACAAATAACTATAGGGCACCTCTCATTGGTACCTAATGGTTGACAGATCAGAGTGGCCTATAGAAGTTTTTAGAAGGAAGATTCCTTCCAGTTGCAGGGATTAGGGAAGGGTTACAGAGCTGTGATGCTTGAATGTCCTAAAATACAGAAGAGGGTAAAAGGGAACATTAAAAGCAAAGCAAAGGATGTTCATCTATGAGTATATATGGCAAATTAAACACATGGGCTTTTTACTCCCTCCAAAAAACCTGTTCAGATGCCACTAGGGATTCTTTAAAAAGGCACATGACTCAGTGATAAGGGAAACTGGGTGACAACATGAGTGAGAGACACCAACATTTTGCCAAATGAAAAATCAATGGAGAGTGAAAGTTGACTTAGCTAGGACAGGCTGAGATGGATTCTACCCGCTCAGGCGGTTATTAACAGGGAAGCCAGTATTCCCTTCTGAACCCACAAAGGGCTCAGCATAAAGGGGTGAAGATTGGGACTGAGGCTGGGGATAGAAGAGAAGGGAATGAGACAAAGATCTGCGTAAGGAAAAACTCATCATGTGATCCATGCAGGTGATTACCTCTATTTCTCCCCTGCAAGAAATATAAGATTGAGTCTTTGGAGAAATGGGGTGGAAATTGTCAGAACAAAGATTTTCTAAATGCAAAGGTCATGAGATTCTAGACTGATGGCCCACGAGTGCCCAGCATAATGACTCAAATAGCCCCCAAGAAATTTCAGAACCTTAGGGAAAATTATTAATTACTAGAGCATCTAGATTCAACAACGGAGTTAGGGGTGAGGGGCTAGATTGAAATTGAAAGATACAGTGGAAGTATATGAGTGTTAGGGCTCTGTGTATTGGCACACATTGATTTATAGCTCCAAGCCCCCCTAAAAAAAAAACTCAGAAAAAAGCCTAAGAATATATATTTTTTTGTTTGTTCAGGGGGAAAAGGGCATCTTTTCCCCAACTTGATCACCCTCCAATGAAGCCTGTTAATAAGCCTTGCACAGAGCTTCCAATCAGCTTTTTAGTATCTCACTCTTAAATGTGAATAGACTGCCAAGGGCCATCAAACATTTAGGAAGCTTCCCACCTGTCAATAGAAGGCAGAGGCTAAAGCAAAGTTGAAACCAAGGAAACAATGACAAAAGGAGCTTTTGAAAACATGTGAAGCTATAATTCTCTGAATTTGAAGAGGATGAATAAAGTGCTATGAAAAGGAAGAACTGGACAACAAAAGAATTCCTAGAAATGAAAAAGAAACTTTTCATCTACCGAACCGGAGGACTAAAGAACCAAAAAGGAGGGAGACTGCATCCATACATCCTGATTTTTCAATTGTGACTATTTTCCCTATCCAATTGAATAAGGGAAAGGTTGGAAATAAAGGTAAGAAAATTTGCAAGAAGGTGAAGTCATTTTAAAATAAAAGGAAATTGGATGCTAAAGGAGAAAAAAAATAAAGGCCGAATCCTGAAGGTCCAACATCTAACAGGAACTGCAGGAAGGATGGGGAAAATGGTAGTAATGTTATTAAATAATTCAAGAAAATATTACTAAGTTTCTGGATGGAAAGGGTGCCTATCACAGTGAATGAGCACCAAGGCATATCATCATAAAATTTCAGAACCCCAAGGATGAAGAGAACTTCCTAGACTTCCAGAGAGAATTAAAAATTAGTGTGCAAACGATTAGGAAAATAAAGAGATCAAACTGACCACTTAATAGCCACACTGGAAGACAGAAGACAGTGGATGATACCTTTAAAATTCTGAAGATAAATTATTTTTAAATCAGAATCATTATCAGATTTGTAATTTCTCAGGATTTTTATTTCCCATGTTTTCAAGGGAATTTACCAAATGATGTCTTTACTAAAGCAAAGGAGTATCAAGGAAATGGGAATCCAACATAGAGGAGAGATAATTTTGAGGATGCGGAGAGGTCCTAGAATGGCAGCTGTGCACAGGCCAGGACAGTCATCAGAGCAGACTAGAGCAAGAGGACTGAAGGCTCCAGGGAAGAAAATGGATTTCCTAACATTCAGGCATACCTCATTCTATTGAGCTGGATCTTATTACACTTCACAGAGAGCTGTGTTTTTTTTACAAAATGAAGGTTTCTGGCAAGGCTGCATCGAGCAAGTCTATTGGTGTCATTTTTCCAATACAGTATTTTTAATTAAGGTATGTATATTTTTAAAAGCATAATGCTATTGCCCATTTAACAGACTAAAGTATAGTGCAAACATAACTTTTTAATGCAGTGGGAAACCCAAAAATTCATGTGACTCATTACAATATTTGCTTTATTGTGGTGGTCTGAAGCCGAACCTGCAATATCTCTGAGGTATGCCTGTATTTGAGTGAACAAAACTTGTATTGAGAAACTATCAGATTACGTGGGAAGACAATAATAGGTACGTTATATTACATGAAAAACAAAGCAAAAAAGCAAGGCAATAATGCCAGGAGAAACAAAAAATTATGAAGGAAGCATTTATTCATAGTTGAAATGTCAATACTGAGTAACTATATTGACTTAACCAAAAAGTGGGATTTTACTATTTTAAGAAGTTAGGGGGAGGCGGAAGAAAAATAAATTTATCAATCATAATTAGAAATCAATAAGCAATGTCTAGAATAAATCAGTAAATAGTATAAGCTAAAAAAAATGATACTGGGGTGGGGAGGGAAATGGGACAGGATTGCTGTTAAAAGCTTAATATCATTTGACTATGTGTACATAATGCTTTGTTGGGAGTTTAAAGTAAAGGGAAGGTAGGGTGGTGAACACAACACAATATACAGATGATGTACTATAGAATTGTATGCCTGAAACCTACATAATTATATTAATCAATGTGTATTCATTACCCAATACAATTTAAAAAATAAAGTAAAAAAAGTATGAAATTGAAATATACAAGTTTTGTGCAAGAGTTAGCTAATAGGTTGATTTGTTGAAGTCAAAAATTTAGGCAGCATACATAACAAAAGACTGTAAAGGTATTGGCTAGATCAGCAGTCCCCAACTATTTTGGCACAGGGACCGATTTCATGGAAGACTAGGGACAGATGGTTTCCGGGGTGATTCAAGTGCATTACATTCAAGCTCATCCGCTGTACAGCCTGGTTCCCAACAGGCCACAAACCAGTCCTTGTCCATGGCCCAGAGGTTGGGGACCCCTGGGTGAGATTATAGAGGACTTGCCATGTCATACTAAGGATATTTGGAAAGCACTGGGGAATGTGAAGAAGTTTCTAAAGAGGGGTTTGAAGCAGAAGAGGTGTTTGAAAGAGGTACTTAGTCTTTTTTTTTTTTTCTTTTTAAGATTTTAGTTATTTATTTTTAGAGAGAGGGGAAGGGAAGGAGAAAGTGAGGGAGAGAAAGGGCAATGTGTGTGGTTGCCTCACACATGCTGCCAACTGGGAACATGGCCCACAACCCAGGTATGTGCCCCAACCGGGAATCGAACCAGCAATCTTTGGTTCCCAGGCTGGCGCTTAATCCACTGAGTCACACCAGCCGGGGCTGAAAGGGGCACTTAACCTTGAAATGCTAATTTGGCAATAGTGTACAAAGTGGAATGGGAGGAGCCCTCACTTGTTACTGTGACCTAAAAGCACTTGTATGAGCTGGTCCAGTCTACTCTCAGGCCTCCTCTAACACTATCCCTGTAGTCACAACGGCCTTCTTTTCCTCAAATTTGACCAGTTTATTCCTGCTTTGAGCCCTTATACTTGGCTGTGCTCTTCTCCCAGACCACACCTTCGTATAGCTGCTTCCTTATTAGTTCTAGATTTTAGCTCAAATATAAGAGGTGTTCTCCGACCACCCATAATCCTCTTTCCCCTATTACATCACATCCCTCCATTTTATCTTTTTCACAGCGTTTGTACTTCTGAAGTTTATTGACAAGCCTCCTTCCAGGTAAGTAAAGGTCCTGAGGGCAGTCTTATCTGTCTTATTTTTGCTCTATCTCATGCAGTATTCCTTGCACATAGTAAACACTCAGTATTTATTAAATGAATTAAAAGCTAAGGGAACCCTGGCCAGGTAGCTCAGTTGGTTAGAGAGTCATTCCTATATACCAAGGTTGCAGGTTCGATTTCCAATCAGGGCACATGCAGGAAGTAACCAATAAATGCATAAATCAGTGGAACGACAGATCTCTCTCTAAAAATCAATTTAATTTTATTTTCTTACATTTAAAAACTAAGGCGTGAGGAGATCTGTTAGGAACGGATTATACCTAGTTCTTTTTTCTTTTTAATATCAAAATCAAAGTTTATTTTTAAAGTATAGATGATTGACATACCAGGTATTCTTTAAGCATCAAAGTGAGCTCCAGAATTCTCAACCTTTTTTTTTCCTATCTAAAGCTTTTCTTTTAATTAATTAATTTATTTTTCCAAATACATTTGTCTCCACCTTCCCCCCACCACTTTCCCCTGCCCCCTCCCCCCTCTTCCTCCCTCAATCCTTCCCCACTTTGGCTTTGTTCATGAGTCCTTGCTATATGTTCCTTGACATGCCCCTTCCCTTCCTTTTCCCCTGCCCATCTCTCCCTCCTTCCTTCTTCTCTCTGGATTATACCTAGTTCTGGTTTGAGACTTACTGTCCCAGTCATGAGCCCATCATTCATGCACTCATTCTGCATTCAATCCATTTATTAAACCACTGCTTTACACCTAGGTACTGAGGTTGTAAGAAGAAATCAACATTAGAGCCTGTTCAGTCCTCAAGGAGCTCAATTTGGTAGACTCAGTGACAGCAGCTATGTTTCTTAACAGACCCTAAAAGGCCATGTCGAGGTCACTTTCCCCCAGTGATACATGTCAGAACCGCCGCCCACCCACCTTTGGGGACCAAAGCGACGTCTGCATTACACCCCTCCCAGCTGCAGAGGAGCAGCCGATCCCCGCTGGGTCCAGAGCCTGGGCCTTGAAGAGTCCAGCAACACAGCCATCCTGGTGAGATCGGCCCTTTCGTCTCTGGGGACCTAGGCGACGGCTGCCAAGCTCCCCACAGGCCTGGAACCGGAACGCAGGATCCGGAGAGCGCCGCCGGGCCGGTGGGCGGGGTGTCCGCGGGGCCCGGCTGAGGGCCAGGCCATCTGCTGCGCGGCCAGCGCGGCTCGGCGGCGGCCGAGGGGGGCGGGGCCGCGCCGGGGCGGGGCCGCGCCGGGGCCCGGGTGGGGGAGCCGGCCGGGCCGCAGCCCAGACCCGGGAGGGCCACGGCCACCGGAAGAGTCGCCGTCGCTAGCCGATCTAGGAGAGTGGGGAGCGGAAGCAGCGGCCGCGGCGGCGGTAGGCGGCGCTGGGACCCGGGAGAGGCCGGAGAACAAGGGAGCTGGCTCTGTGGCTAGCCGTGGAGCTGCGCTGAGCCACTGGGCCGCGCCAAGCGCCGCCGCCGCCCGAGAGGCCCGGCCCGGCCGCCGGGCCCGAGGCCGGAGCCATGGGCGAGACCAAGATCATCTACCACCTGGACGGGCAGGAGACGCCGTACCTGGTGAAGCTGCCCCTGCCCGCCGAGCGCGTCACCTTGGCGGACTTTAAGGGCGTTCTGCAGCGACCCAGCTATAAGTTCTTCTTCAAGTCTATGGACGACGATTTCGGGTGAGGATGCACCCCGCCTCGCCTCCGGGGGACCCCGGCCCCTCCGGCTTCTAGGGGCCACTCGGCCAATTTGCATTCCCCTTGCCACACTGGCTTCTAGCCCTGCTCTGGATTCTAGGGGGCGACTCGGCCATTTGGGCTCCCCTTGGTTTTTTTCAGATGCTGAAGTTCCCTGCCTCTCTAGGGACTCTCCTTTCGCTCTTGTGGGTACTTTGCCCCCTCCCCTCCAGTTTAGGGGGACGTGCAACTCCCCAAGAGTAATCAGAGTACCAGCCCAGGAAGCCCCCTCACCTCTCAGAGACCAGCGGCCCACACCGACAGACACACACACCCCCTCCACCCAGTTCCACAACCAGAGTCCCCCGACCTTCCTGCCCAGGGAGCCACCTTTTAACACATCCTTGGGGTGTTTGGCACTCGGCCTTCGCCTTCTCCATCTTTTCAGCTCCACAACTCCGAGCCATATTTGGAGTACCGGGCATCTCAGGGCTGTGCTGTGGGACTTTGAACTGAGGGGAGGAGGAAGCTAGGGGTGCTCAGGCGCCTGGCTGTAAGCTAAGGCCTGCAGACCTGATGTTTATTTAGCCGTTCCCCCTTCTCTTGTGGGGTGTGGGGGGTGTAGTCAAGGGAGCAATGCCTGACCCCTAAAGAGGAGTCCCCACTAGCCCAGGTGCTGATTTCCTCTCAGAATTGGGGCCTTTTTCCTCCAGATGGTGGCCTTGGAAAGGGCCTCAGAGCCTGGGTGGGAGGGTCTGGAAGAGTCTTGGTGTTTGTCTTCCTTCCCTGGCGGGGTCTTCTCCTCCGCCCAGCTGTGGGGCTTTGGACAAGCAGAGTTTGGGAGCAAGGACTTCCCCTTTAAGAAGGGATGGAATGTTGGAGCCGGAAGGTTCTGTAGCAGCTGGCCTAGGAGGGGGAGCCTGGCCATCCCCTCACACCCCCCACCACCAACTCCTAGGGGACTGGGGGAGGAGGAGGCCCCCACACTAACTGGGCGCCGGGCCTGGAGGCCTGTGGGGAAGGCCTTCCCGGGCCCGCCAGGCCTAAAGGCAGCCTCTCTGGCCCTAGCCTGAGGCCTGCATACTCTCTGGAGCCAAGACCGAATGAGGGAAGACAGTCTTCTCTCCCCCATGTTCATCAGTCTGGCTTCTCTCCCGTGACCCCAGCTCTACTGGCCCTGGAAAGCAAGCATCTTCTCTCTCCTCTGCCTGGCATGTTTTGCTGTCACCTTTCCCCCTGGAACTCAGGGTTTGATGAGCCCGTGAGCTCATATGTGTGAAAGTGCTTCTAACTATTCTTGTTTCTGTTGTTGTTATACTTACCCTGGGGTGGGGAACTCCTGGTGTGTAATGATTGTCTAGCCTTGGTCCAGAGACAGACACCCCTGATTGGAAGATTCTAAGGAGGGATGAATCGATCTGCAGGCGGGGGTGGTAAGAGAAGAATAGGGTTAGGAGAAACCGAGATACTGCCCCAGGGTATGGGATCAGGGCAAAGCAGCTGGAGCCCAGTGTGCCGGGCTACCCTGGGGCCAGCTCCCATTCTTGCCAGGGCGCTGTCGAGCCAGGCCTAACTGCAGTCACACGAGGGCCCCCATTACATCCACTCACTGTTGACTTAATAGTGGTCTTTAAACTCACTGTCAGTCCACTCACCCTTTTGTAGCTTGACCAAATCAGTTATATGAAATCACCCGTCTGATTTTCCATTTATATGTATTTCTATGATATGTTAAAAATAAATATTAACTATTGAATTAAGCAGTGTTCATTCAGGTAACTCCTGAACACATCTCGCATACATCACTGGTACTTGAACCATCCTTTGCAAAATATCAGAGCAGGCCATTTTAATAGGACTGAGAACAATGCTAAAAGCAAAGTGGAACAGCTCTGATTTTGTTTTTATCCCCAGAAGGATTAATGAGCAGACCCGGAAGGGTCATCTCAGAGGACTAATAGCTGAGGAATAGAGGAATGTATGTGCGTGTGTATTTATGCATTTATTTAACAAACTCTTTTTATGGTGCTTCTTATAGTGTACCTGGCACCGGTCTAAGTGCTTTTCAAATTTTTACTCATTTAATGCTCTTAACAGCCCTATGAAGCAGTTAGTAATATCCTCAGTTTACAGATGAGGGAACGAGAGCACAGAAACCAGAAAGTAACTTACCCAAGATCACACAGTCTGGCCAGTTAGTGGCAGAGCTTGATGCAACATCAGGAATCTGGCTCCAAAGTCTACAGCCTTAATCACACAACTGTAGGTATAATTATCATCACCATTTCACAGATGCCAGCTCTCTGAGGGAGATGCCGAGCCTTGACCAACTGTAGAGGGATAGGGCTGCCACTTATCCTAGCCCCCTGAGAGGAAGGTCAGGCAGAGGACCGTAACCCCTACTGACTGATGGGAAAGCAGGTGAGAGCAGGAAAGCTGCTGTCTCTCCATGCCCTCCAGGCTCACCCTCTGAGCTACTGGTTTGTGAGGCCCGAGGACTCCCCACCTCCCATCTGGTCTCCAGAAGTATTTGTCAGGCTCGGGGTAGGCCCAACCCTCTTACGTTACTTGGGAAATGGAGGAAGAATAAACTTGTTTAGCACTGAGGAGATAGTGGATAGAAGAACAAGGTACCCATTGCTAGAATGGCCTTGAGCTGTGGGAGGGGGTAGCATGGGAAGTGGGTTACTAATTATGTTGCTAATTATGTTGCTCCCTGCTCCCTGTCACACAGTGTCCTGCCTCTGGGCCTTCTGCCTGCATCATACTTCTTCCCCTGGCTTCTCCATGTCCAAATTCCCCTGTCATCTGGGTTGAGCTTTTAAAGTGATGGTACCTTATTCTAGTTATCTGTATACCTACTTTGCTCCTAGTCAGGACCCGATACCCTCGTAATACTCAGCAGATGTCTGTCAAGTGAACACCTCTGCTGGTCTTACTGCCCTGACCACTTCCCACATGTAATAGGCTTATGTGAGCTGTGCAGTGGATGGTAACCTCTGAGAACAAGGCCGGCTCCAGCCCTGAAGCTTCTTGAAGTTCATAGAATGGCAAGCACAGGACTTAAAACTCACTGGACTCTCAGCAAAGGCTTTTTAATTGCGAGAACAATGAATAATGAGCAGATTTGTTTGGTCCCTGCCCTTACAAACTTATACCTAATTAGAAAGAGAGTATATATTCTGCTAAAAATTGACAAAGTTAAAAAACTAGCCTTTATTGTATGCCTGGACTGTGCCAGGCATTTATAAATCCCATTTACCAGTATGAGACAAAGGCTTGGAGAAGTTAAACTTCTGTAAGATGGGAAGGCTAATGAGTAGCAGAATTGGAATTTGAACCCAGATTCATCTGACTCCATTTGGGAGAGGGGGTGTGTATATGTGAGTGCAATGGAACCCAGAGCCATTTAGCTCCACTGTGGGGGGTAGGGGCTTGTCTGAGTCCCCCAAGGCTGCCACAGATCAGCTGATCGTTGTGAGTCAGCAAAGCCTTGGCGACCTGTCAGTGACCCCCAGAAAGAGAGGAAACATCTGTAGCTGGAGCTGTGTGGTGGGGCCTGTTGGGGAAGGGGGTTGTGGAGTCTCAGCGGCAGTTTCCCACCATAGGGAGACCCTCTCCAAAGCAGGTCACAGAGTCCCTGCCATGTGGCCCAAATACCCCCTTTTCCTTTAAGCTGCAACTCCCATAGGGGGCTGCAAGCTTTAGGGTACCGCACAGCCAGACCAGCTGATCGTTCTGAGGGACCTCTCTCTCTGTCCCTTCTTTCCAGCCTCTTCTGTCTCCAGGCTTTCTGCCATGATGGAGCTGAACAGGATGATTTGAGCTGCTTTCTTGGGGTCGCTGTGGGGTTGGAAATGGTGGAAGAGCCAGAGCTGAATGGGAGGGAGGAGGGTAAGCTCGGCCTTCGAACTTGGCTGTGAGTCCAAGAATGTGAGCATCACAAGGAGCCAAGCACGTTCCCAGCTCTGGGCAGAAGCTCTTCAAGAACAGAGAGACTGGGCTTCCCAGCCTCCTTCCTTGCTGTCTTCCCTGTCTGCTCACAACTCCGGTCATGTGTCTTCTTCTTGCTCCTAATCACGTCTTTCCATCTCTGTACTCCTGGGTGTTTGATGCCGTCTCAGGGCCCTCAGAGTTTTCCAGTTTCTTTCATTGGCCCCAAACTGTAGTCATGATCTGACTTCTTGCCTCGCTGCGTACCTGGGACCACCTCCCACCCCCGTGCCCCACATCGCTGTCTTCTCCACCCCACCCTCCACAGACTCATGTCGCCTCTGTTCTTGTACAGGAAAGAATGTGAAACACCGTGGAGAGTGCAGGTGTGGGAATCAAACAAGCTTGGGGTTGAATTCCAGTTCGACAGTTTCTAGCTCTGTGACTTGGAACAAGTTACTGAATGTTTCTCAGTTCCTTATTCATAAAATGGGGGTCGTATAGTCTGTACAATGGGGCTGATGTAAAGATTGTGTATTATAACTGTAAGGAGAGAAGGTGGTTTAATTGGAAGGAATAAAGCCTTTGGAGTCAGGCTAACTATGATTCAAATTCCAGCACTTCACTTATTAGTGGTGTGAGCCTTAGCTTCCCCATCTGTATCTATCTTATAGCATTGCCGCAATAAATGAACAAAGTAAAGTGTTCATCCAGTGCTTGACCCATAATACATGCTCAGTAAATGAGAGCAGTTGTTTCTATTATCATAATGGCAGTAGAGGGTATTCAGTAAATGCCTTCCCCCATTTTCTTTCCTAATTTCCTTAAATTTCTCCTCCACACCTCCTAGAAGAATGTCAGGATTCCCAACTGAGAAGGAAAGGACGGTAATGAGGGTGTGCTTTTCCTAGTTTAGGGTCAGAGGGAAAGAACAAGTCCAGCCCATGAGAGCCTTTTTGGGGATGAGTGAAGTGCTCTGAAGATTCTAGGGAGTGGCTGCACCCACGGGGGATAGTGATTTGTCAGGAGTCATTTGCAATCACCTGATGACTGAGAGGACACCCCAGGAAGGCAGCTGGGTCACCGCCACCCACACTCCCATTGAACAGGCTTATGCTGGGGTTTTGATTCCCAGTTTAGGTGGAGGAGCCCCTGAGAGTTGGGATTATAAGGACACCTCCATTTCCACCTAAGAAAACTCATGATACCCACTCTTCCCCTGCAGAGTGGTGAAGGAGGAGATCTCAGACGACAATGCCAAGCTGCCCTGCTTCAATGGCCGGGTGGTGTCCTGGGTAAGGAGCCTTCCCCAGCCCTGCTCTGCTCACGTTCCTGCAGTGGGCTGGATGGAGGAAAGCCCTCGCTAAGATTACAGCTTATGGTTTTATGCTTCAATATCTGAATCCACCCCAGATTCTGTAGCCTTGGAGAAAAGTGGAGGAGTAGTGTGAAGGAGGAAGGGCAGATACAAAAACATGCATTGCAGACAAAATTGTCTCCTATGCCCTTCGCAGCACTTTACCTCAGGTTCCCTTCTGTCACCTGCTGACCTCTGCCTTGGACCCTTGTTCTCTGCCCCCATCCCACTTCACCAGCCCCTGCTTCCCTGCCACCCTATCACCCTGGCAATCAGTCTGCTGTCCTCGCATAGCCCTGCCTCTTCTCCTTTCATGTCCCCTGCTTCATTTGCCCCAAGCCTGCATGCCCTGCCAGAAGCCAACTATTGTACTTCTCCCTGGCCCCCCTGTGCCATACTACCTACCCATTTTCTCCCCATCAGCTGGTGTCAGCTGAGGGCTCACACCCAGAGCCAGCTCCCTTCTGTGCTGATAACCCATCGGAGCTGCCACCGCCCATGGAACGCACAGGAGGCATTGGGGACTCCCGGCCCCCCTCCTTCCAGTGAGTGTGACCTGAGAGTGGGCAGGGCCTGTGGGGGAGGACCACGTCAGCTCAGCCCAGGGCTGGGGGAGGGAGCCCCCAGCCTGCCCCCTCCCCCACCAAGTCCTCTCTTCCCCGCAGCCCTCATGCTGGAGGGGGCAGCCAGGAGAACCTGGACAATGACACAGAGACGGACTCCTTGGTGTCTGCCCAGAGGGAGCGGCCGCGCCGGAGGGACGGCCCAGAGCACAGTGCGTCTACACCCTCCCACTCCCGTGCCCTCCCCACAGCTTCTACTCAGCTGCCCACCTCTTTGCCCAGCTTCCTGAGCACTGACCCCAGTGCAGCTCCTGGCTTGTGCCTCTCTCCTCCCTTCCCTCTGCACTGGGCACTGTGAACCAAGCTGCCTCCATTTCCTACAGCAACCCGGCTAAATGGAACCGCAAAGGGGGAACGGCGGCGAGAGCCAGGGGGTTATGACAGCTCATCCACCCTCATGAGCAGCGAGTTGGAGACCACCAGCTTCTTTGATTCAGAGGAGGATGACTCCACCAGCAGGTGGGGCTTTGGTTTCATGGGTACTGTGGGGCAGGTGACCCCTGAGGAACCCTGAACCCTGGGGATACTGGGAGGGATGTGGCCTTTGTGCTGAGAACCTAGGCCCTGCAGTGCCTCTTATGGGGCTGGGCTAGGCCAGCCTGGTGGGGAACGACTGTGGGCCCCACAGGTTCAGCAGCTCCACAGAGCAGAGCAGTGCCTCACGCCTGATGAGAAGACATAAGCGGCGACGGCGGAAGCAGAAGGTTTCCCGGATTGAGCGGGTATGGGGCTTGGGATGCTAGGGGTGGGTGGTGCTTCCGTAGATCCCCTTCCCTTGGATCAGTGTTTAGAACCTTAGGAGGGAGGTGGTGCTGAGGGCTCACCTTGAGGAGGAGCTAGGAGGGAGCAGTGAGTTCCTGTCACCCTTGCCTGCTGCTCAACGTCTCTGTCTATTTCAGTCCTCATCCTTCAGCAGCATCACGGACTCCACCATGTCCCTCAACATCATCACGGTGACTCTCAACATGGGTGAGTCTGGTGAAACAACACACTTAAGTGCCTACTCTGTGCCAGACACTGGGCAGACCCAAGGAGTTCAAAGAGGCACAAGATATGTTCCCTGCTCTCAAGGAGTTCTCTCTCATAAACATAAACTGATTATTTCAGTATTTCATGATCACAACTATTATAGGGAGAAGAGAAAAGCATCAGGGAAGGCTTCCTGGAGGAAGTGATTTCTGATTCCTTCCTCCTTCCCATTTTTCAGCCATTGCATTCTTGCTCTCTTGATTTCTGCCCTAAGTACTTTTTTTAGGAGAGGGCTGGGTGTGGTGAAAAGAGCCCCAACTTTGCTTGGAATTTAAATCTGAGTTTGAGTACTGGTTTTGCCACTTAATGGCTTAGAAAAGTCACTTAACTTCTCTGAACCTCAGTTGTCTACTCTGTAAAATGAGACTGAGAATCCCTGCCTCACATCCAGTAAGGAATTAAACAAAAGCCTATTTGAGCATGCTGAACACAGTGCCTGATCCCAGTTCAATAAATGTTAGTTCTCATCCCTTTCTACTCTCTCTAATAAGGGGCTCAGAATTTGGGTAGGAACCTTTCTCCCCTCTCAAGGTCTTATTACTCCCTGTAGAAAAGTATAACTTCTTGGGCATCTCCATTGTGGGCCAAAGCAATGAGCGCGGTGACGGAGGGATCTACATTGGCTCTATCATGAAGGGTGGGGCCGTGGCTGCTGATGGACGCATCGAGCCAGGAGATATGCTGTTACAGGTACCATTGTCCACCATGGCTGGTGGTGTGGATAGGGAGTTGGGGAGATGTACCCTCCGTGCCCTCACATTCTTCCTACCCTATTCAGAGGTCCCTTCTTGGTGGGGGAAGACCCTCTGATCCACCAAGCTTCCCTAACCCCTTCCCCAGCACAGCTGCTCATCCCACTCCTGGTCCTCTTTCCCAGGTAAACGAGATCAACTTTGAGAACATGAGTAATGATGACGCAGTCCGGGTACTGCGGGAGATTGTGCACAAACCGGGGTATGGATGGGATGGGGCATTGCAGAGGCGGGGGCGGGGCGGGCATTCCGGCTCTCAGGCAAGGGGCTTGGTGTGGTCTCCACACAGCCTGCCCTTACTAGGGACACCCTTGCTTTCAGGCCCATCACCCTGACTGTAGCCAAGTGCTGGGACCCAAGTCCACGTGGCTGCTTCACGCTGCCCAGGAGTAAGTGGATGGGAGACTTGGCCCTGAACTGGTGCCTGGCATACGTGAGCTCTGTCTCTCCTGCCTTCTGTGGTGTCCTGAACCCTCATACCTGCCCTTTTGACCCAGCACTGGGCAGGGTGGGCAGCCCCAAACCTCTCATCCTCCCTACAGGCGAGCCCATCCGGCCCATTGACCCTGCGGCCTGGGTCTCCCACACTGCAGCCATGACTGGCACCTTCCCTGCCTACGGCATGAGCCCCTCCCTGAGCACCATCACCTCCACCAGCTCCTCCATCACCAGCTCCATCCCTGACACAGAGCGTGAGTGTCCAACCCTGTCCCCTGGCCCCAGCAGACAGGCCCAGGTGAGAGGGACTGATGAAGGTCCATGTGGAGACTCTTGCTTGAAGTCAGAGGGGGCTGGAGAGGGGACTTAGCTCATTCCAACTACCTCATACTGCAGCTTCCCTCAGTGGACACTCTACCCTCACTAAACAGTGTTTGCTTCTGAACCAGTGTTGAGCACCCAGTGGGCCTCAGTTTCCTCTTGTAAAATGGGACTAGTGATGTGCACTTTACCAGATTTCAGGGGGTTAATGAGAGGATGTAAGTGAAGCACTGGTCACAGTGTGTGACATAAACTAAGCATGCAATGACTGCCGTTTTTATTATAATATACCCATTATGCATTATACTAAGCACCTTCGTTTATGCTGTTTAATTCTTTTCAAACATTTTTGTAAAATAGATGTTAAATTCCCTATTTTTACAGAAGGAGAAACTGAGTGTCCAAGAAGTCAGTAAGTTGCCCAACACTGGTCCATATTTATTAGGCAGTAGAGCTGGAATGCAAACTCCTGTCTGCCTAACTCCACAGTCCCTTCCCACCTCACCATTTTGCCTCCCGCCCCCAGGCCTAGACGACTTCCACCTGTCCATCCACAGTGACATGGCCGCCATCGTGAAAGCCATGGCCTCCCCTGAATCAGGCCTGGAAGTCCGAGACCGCATGTGGCTCAAGATCACTATCCCCAACGCATTCATCGGTGAGAGGTCCCCATGGTGGGATGAAGGAGGGGGTGGGCAGTGAGGGAGCAGGACAGGCTGGGGGCCCAAGAACTCCCTTGACCTGGAACCAGGCCCAGCCTCATGGCCTCTGTGAGACCAGATCAGCCCAAGTCAGGTGGGCTTCCCAATCAAATGGCGGCCCTGCCCCCAGGCTCAGATGTGGTGGACTGGCTGTACCACAATGTGGAAGGCTTCACTGACCGGCGAGAGGCCCGCAAGTATGCCAGCAACCTGCTGAAAGCCGGCTTCATCCGCCACACTGTCAACAAGATCACCTTCTCTGAGCAGTGCTACTACATCTTCGGCGACCTCTGCGGCAGTATGTGCCTTCCTACCTCCTTGCCCTGTCTCCTGGCTGGGAGTGGGGTGGTGCCCAGGGATGTGGCAGCAAACGCGAGGGAACCCAGAAAAGTGGGCAGCAGAGCTGGGGTCCCAGCTCAAGGCCTGGGGGTTTTGTGGTGGAAGCAGAGCCCTGTTCAGCTTCTTCACCTGCCTGCATCCCCCGGGAGGGGCTGGCTTTTTCTAAGTGCCTGTTCTGTGCCTGGCACCATGCTGATTGTTCCTAAAGCATCACCTCACTCTATCACTCAGTCCTCACAACCTCCTCTCACCCTCAGGGAGATGGATTACTTTTCCTGTATTCAGAGGAGGAAACTGGGACATGTAGAAGTTAAATAGCCTACCCTGGGTCTCACAGCTAGAAGCAGAGGAGCTAGGCCATGGGCCCAGGTCTTTCTGGCTCCAGAACCCTTGTTCTTCCCACTGTCCAGGGCTGACCAGTGTGTGATACTGGAGAAACTGTCTCAGCAAAGCTAGAGTTCCTATCCTTGGCCCCTGCTCAGTCTCCCAGCATCAAATAGGTTCTACCAGGGCAGGACCTAGGACTGGCCTGAGGCCCCAAGTCCACAGCTTTCTCAGGCCCTTGTTGGGGCGCTCTGTCTCAAAATAGAGTTGGAGAAGCTATCAGGGCCAGGTTGTAGACGACTCTGCAAACTATACTGAGAAATTGGACTTGATCCTTAAAGAGTGCAAAGCCAATGAGGGTTATCAACAGAGGTCTGCATGAAACCCCGCCCCCTTCTCTTTCTGAACTCAAGGATAGCCCTTGGGAAGGGGAGTCTTCAAAACAGGACAGCCATGCCCCGGCTGGGAGCTGAAACCCTCTCCCAGCAGCCACCTCTGCCTGAGAGAACCTTCTCTCACTCCTGTGGTGCTGGCTGAAGGCCAAAAGCTAACTCTTAAAATGCTTCAGATTCGATTCTAGGGACTAGAAAAGCTGGTCTGCAGAGCACAGGTCTTGGTGGAGGGTGGGTCCCTGGCCCTCAGCAGCTCCAGTGCTGTCCCATGGAGTAGAGATAGATGCACAGAGATGCACAGGGTTTGGAGTTAAATAGCTCCAAGTTCAGATCCTAGCTCCACCCTTAGTGTGTGAACATGAGTGAGTGACACAGCTTCTTGGTGCCTTAATTTGTTATCTGTTAGGTGGAGGTAACAGTAGAATCTAACTCATAGAACTGTTTTGAGGATGATACAATGTATATAATGCTTTTAGCACCAAGTTTGGACCACAGTAAGTGCCCTAAAAAAGTTGTCCATTATTCATATATTTAATTGATTCTAAGATGAACTCTTGTTTTCACATTTTAGTATCTTTGAAATTGAGTGCATCTTATAATCAGTGACTTCTTAGACTCGATCAAATGTGGTTATTGTCATCCTTAGCCCTGCCCTCAAATTTCCAGGGACACATGCTTTTCAGAATAGCTGCGGCTTTTGCTCAAGAGACATTGTTCCATCCCTGGGGCCTCCTGAATCTTCCAGCCATGGACCAAGGCCACCAGCAGCTCAGGGAGATGCTGACAGAACAGGCCTTTTCCTTCTCACTGGCCAAGGTGTCCTAAGCGGGGAGTGTGGCAGGCTCAAAGGGAAGAGCTGAGGAGCCCCAGCTCTTCAGGGGGCAGGCCCAATGGTAGCCGCAGGAGCACAGAATCACTCCCTTTGGGACGACAGTGTGGAGGCTGAAATAGTCATCAGCTCCTCGAGCATGAGCCAAGGTCAACCCCTGCTTCCCACCACCATCGCTGCCGCCACCCTCCGTGCTAGCTGCTGGCCTTGACAAGTTCATGGCTTGGCTGGCAGATTTCACTGGCTGCTTTACCCCCTCAGAGCCCCCTCTCCTTATCTCTTCTCCCCGGGAAGGCTGGGCTGGCTGACTTAAGGGCTTGGAACAAAGGGCTGAATCTAATTGGCAGCTGGCCCCTGGGGCAGTTCGAGCTCTCTCAGAGCTCTGGCACCAGTACAGACAAGGTGTGAGCGAGGGGTGTTCACGGCAGGCTATTAGTGCTAGTGGCCCCTTATACTCCCTTCCAGGTAGTTCCAACATTGATAGGGGCATCCTTGCCCTTAACGGGTACACAGTTAACTGGGGGAGGCAGAGTCATGAAAGAAGCCATGTCAATACAGTGAGACAAGTGGTACGAAGCGCCAGGCCTGGCTGGGAATGGGGCGGAGAGCGCAGAGGAGGCACTGAAATTGTTCTCTTTTTGGGCCCTTCCTACCCCACCTTCCCCCTCCCCAGCAGCACCAGAAAATTGATTTAGGCCAGTCACCTCCTACATGGGAAGGCTCTGAAAGGCCGTATGTTCATTCTGGTTGTGTGTGTGTGGTGAAGGGTGAGGGCAAAATTTCACCTAAATTTCTCCAAACTGCTGCTTACTCCTTACTAATAACCTCATTTGGGAATGTAAGAAAGTAAGCAACTTTTAGATTCTGTTCTGGCTGAAGTTGAGGTTGACCTCAGGCTGGTCATTAAACCTCTCTGGACTGCACTTAACATTCGCATGAGATGAAGTACTATGTATTGTGCCTATCAAATTGCAGGTATGCAGTACCTGGTGGTCTGATATTTCAGCCTCCCACATTCCCCTTACCTTTTACCCTCCAAGTGATCAGGGGAGAAAATTGCCGAATGAGTTTTGCCCCTTCCAGTCCACTGAGGAAGGAGGACAAACTGCCACAAGGTTGATAGGAGCTCTCCATGGGACTGGGAGTTCAGTGTCAGGATTTGGCATTAGAGCTGCTCCCAGGTGGCCACTGGGGGCCTCCCTGAGAAGGGTTTCCCTGGGACTGTCTTGGCAGCGCCTTCCTCTCTGCCATTTCTGCTGGATGGCAGAGGGAGCCTGAAGGAGTGAGAGACCTCTGTCTGGCCTATGCCGCCTCCCATTCTGGCGGGAAACTAACACTGCTGTTGCTGTCATCTCAAATGCACCCACCCAACCTACGCTCAGACCTCTCCTGACATTGTGGTACCACCGTATAGGAGAGTTCCAATATCCGGCCTTCTTCTGCCCTCCGCAGACATGGCCAACCTATCTCTCCACGATCACGATGGCTCCAGCGGAGCCTCTGACCAGGACACACTGGCCCCGTTGCCGCACCCGGGGGCCGCCCCGTGGCCCATGGCTTTCCCTTACCAGTACCCGCCACCCCCGCACCCCTACAACCCGCACCCAGGCTTCCCGGAGCTGGGGTACAGCTACGGCGGGGGCAGCGCCAGCAGTCAGCACAGTGAAGGTAAGCTGGATGGGGACCACGGGCAAGCCCCCGGCTTCCTCCGCAAGCTCTTGAGCATCCGCGACCCCGTCCCTACCTGTCCCCAACAGGCAGCCGGAGCAGTGGCTCCAACCGTAGCGGCAGCGACCGGAGGAAGGAGAAGGACCCGAAGGCCGGGGACTCGAAGTCGGGCGGCAGCGGCAGCGAGTCGGACCACACCACGCGCAGCAGCCTGAGGGGGCCGCGGGAGCGGGCGCCCAGCGAGCGCTCGGGGCCCGCCGCCAGCGAGCACAGCCACCGCAGCCACCACTCGCTGGCCAGCAGCATGCGCAGCCATCACACGCATCCGAGCTATGGCCCCCCCGGCGTGCCCCCTCTCTACGGCCCCCCCATGTTGATGATGCCCCCACCGCCCGCGGCCATGGGACCCCCGGGAGCCCCTCCAGGCCGTGACCTGGCCTCGGTGCCCCCTGAACTGACCGCCAGCAGACAGTCCTTCCGCATGGCCATGGGAAACCCCAGTGAGTTCTTTGTGGATGTGATGTGAGCAGGGCCCCTCCCCCACTTCATCCCACCCCTAACCTGGCTGGCTGCGTCCCTCTCTCCAAATGTCCAGTCTTTTTTACTTTGTCTGGTACCTGAAAGGGAAATAAACGGAACTAAATCTAGGCGCGCTAACTGCTCGCTGGGCTCAGCGAGGGCGGGGCGAACCCACCCATCGCTAATGCAGCCCCTAACCTGCCACCAGCCCCAGCCTGTCCCTCTGAGCACTAATCGCTGCCCAGGACTTCCCAGGATCCTTGATGTTCCTGGGACCCGACTTGCTGGTGCTGCTTCTTACTCCATTCACCCGAGCATACGCTTGAGGAATTGACCGGAGCGGTGCCCTTGAGGGCCTGCTGAGCCGCGTATCCCCCACCTTTTCCCCCAACTCAGATCCCTCTCACCATTCATTCAGCTACACCATCTCACTAGTAACCTCATCTCCTTGAGCATGTGTGCCAATTTCTTGACTTTCACCCACAGTGCTAACACCAAAAAACCAAAACCTGTTTTATCGGCTCCTCCTAATTGTCCCTTGCCTGCTGCCTAACTGTCCCTTGCCTGCTGCTTGTACCCTACAGCTGTGGTCACCTTTAGTAACAATCCATGCTCTTGCCTGTGCTGAGCCCTTACCAGAAGCACAGTGGGAGCTTTAGTTGCCTGATCTGCTAGTGGCTTCCAGGAAGCATCTATGCTCTACCCGCCCCCCCGCCCCCACCACTGCCACCCCTTGCCTGCAATTGTATGGTGGCTCCTTCAGACCCCTAACCCCACTAACCAGCAGGCTCATCTCGCCTCTGGGCCTGAAACGTTTCTTTTCTTTCTTTTTTTTCCTCCCCCAATTTTTCCTGGGCCTGGAGCAGCCAAGAATTTCGGGCTGTTTGACTTTCTGTGAGCCCCCAACGAGGGGAGGCCCAGCCTTCGAGGAGACCAGAAACCCTGCTTCAGCAGCCCCTCAGGGCTTCCCAAGGATATTTAGCCCCCAGACCCACACTTCAACATGTTGAGTCACTAGGCTTCTGGGGATGGTCCTAGCCTCTTGCCCATGTATGAGAGAGTCTGTTCGCCTTTCCAGAGGGTGTGCGTGCTCTCTTTCTCTTTTACACGTATGTGCACACACACACAGGTGCCTATGCAAATCCACTTAAGTCTCAGGGCTGGTCCCTGCCCAGAGGGCTGGCCCCTCTCCTGATCCCCCAGGTTGTGTGTGGGCTGGTCCCCTGACTTACCTCTGCCATTTCTCCCCTTCCTCATCGCCCTCAGGCCTCCCCCATATGTCCTCATCATCTTCCTACCTGGATAGAGCCCATAAACTGGGCTCAGCAGAGGACTCCCCAGACAACTAACTGGCTGTTCTCACCCGGCCCCCTGCCACATACATACACTTTTCTCTTTTCACAGTCACCGTGATACCCCAGAGTATATTTGGGCAGGGGTACTTCTGGGACTTCCAGATATAGTGCCAGGCTTTTATTTTTTACCCTTACTTTCTAGTTTAAACAAGTCATGACATTCTCTTTAAGCCTCTTCTATAAATCTTCCTGGCTCACTGAGGCGTCTACATTTTCAGAACTAGGGTGTCAAGAGTGAGATGTGCTAAATTTCAGGCTTTGGGACAAACCAGTGTGGGGACATTTTGGCATTCATTTATGTGACGAATACTTTCTGGGGTTTTTGGTAAGTGATGGCTGTGTTGGAATTTTGACTCAGTCTGGCCTGCCTTCTGGCAGCTCTGGTTTGCTCCCAACCCAGACCATGGCTTCCTCTAGCTATCACTACAAGGCTGCCTCCTGTACTTCTCTTTCTTCTCAGATTCTGCCATGTCTGACTTTACTGAGAATTCTTCCACTATTGTTCATGCCTTCAGTAGGTCCTCCTGGTGTTCTATTTTCTGTCCATTCCTCTTCCCTGTTTACTCCCCAAATGGTGTCATCCATCTGGATGTCCTTAACTGCCTTTGGTATGCTGGTGATTCTCAAATATATATCTTCATCCCCAACTGACCTCCAATCTTTAGATCTGTGCTTTTATTACCCACTGGACATCTCCATGGACATGTCCATATGGACTCAATTCAATCCCTCCACCTCCTGAATTCCAGTCCTAGTTGCCTTCACCATCTACATAGGCTCACCAACTAGAAACATTTATGGGCTTAAATCCCTTCCCGTGTTGTGCTATTCAGCAGATCATATCCATTCTACTCCAACAATCGTTCTTCAATTTGGCCCTTCTCCCCTCTGCCTCTACTCTAGTTCACAGGAGCATGGGATTAGGAATCAGGTTGTTCTGGGTTTGAATCCCAGCTCTCCTACTTTTTGGTTGCGTGATAGGAGAGTTATTTAATCTCTCTGAGCCTCAGTTCCCTCATACATAAAATTATGATAATAATACCTACCTCACAGGGTTGTTGTGAGGATTTAAATTAGATATTGTACGAAAAGTGCCTAGCACGGTGCCTGGCACACAGTAGAATAGGTGCTCAATAAATGGTAGCTATTATTATTATTATTATTATTATTATTTGCTCTAAATTGGTAAGGATTTAGGGTATTTATTGAAGATAAAGCTTTGGGAAAGATAGGAATGAAGCCTTGTGTGTTAGTTCAAGGATCAGAAATGCCTGTATTTAGCCATTTAATGGCTTCAGGCTATGACCACAGTTTGAATGAAGGAGGCCAAATCTTCATTCTGCCACATTTTGGCTTTCTGGCAAAAGCATGCTACGGACAGCAAGGCGTGCAATCAGCTTTGCCCTTTCTTCTTCCCATGACGACCTCGGCCCTAACTAGGGAAGGCATCGGGATATCCCTCATCATAGAAAGAGAAGAGCCAACAGATTTCCTTCAGGTCCTGCAAAAAGCAGGCAAGCCTTTCTCATTCAAGGGTTGGCTCTGTCTTCTCAGCTTGGATGCGAAGATTAATTCTGTTCAGAGAGGGTATTTCAAATCCCATGTCTAATTAAATTCAACTCACCGAAGCTTTTCTAAGCAACATATCTGTCTGTCACTACAGGTTCTGGCCTTGAGGAGCAGACTATCACATAGGTATAGCTGATGTAAAACATACACATATTCTTGAAAAAGCATTAACTAGTTTCTCCCAAGTATTTGCCTTCTCAGCTTGGTCTCCCTGACCCTTTCCTTGGGGACCTGATGCCTGGAGAAAAGGCTCATGTCTGGCACAAATATACGATGGGGGGAAAACAGAAATAACCAAAAACTTTGGGAGAATCAGGTGGTGTTAGAAACAGCAAATGCAGCACAAACACTTCTACAAGTCGTGTGTTGTGTGGAAAGTGCGAACAGGCGGTCCTCGGACTCTGGAGGCACTAAAGGCCTATAGCGATCCAAGGCTTAACAGATGGATTCAAATGGCACTAGTCCTCTGAGCCTCCTGGAAATACAGAAATAGTTACGGGAGGGACTGTAGAGACTACAATTCCCAGAATGCTCAGTAGGGGAAATGAAGAGTGGAATGGAGTAGGTTGAGACGTGTGCTTCGGGTAAGGCTGGATAAGGCCCCTCCCACCCCTCCTTACGAAGGTTCTCGAAGGCAGTCGGTAGTTGTAGTTTTGCTAAATCTAGAGAGCTTAAAATTTAAGCGAGACCTACGGGGGCCTGACGGGATTTGTAGTGTGAGCGGGAGGTGGACGCGCACGCGCAGCTGAGGCCGGGGCGGGGCTGGGGCACTGCGGTGAAAGCAGAGGCAGCGGGCTGGAGCAGGGGGCGGGCGGACATCTTGGGATCCAGAGAGTGGCCGGTCCGGCGGATTTGGGGGCCGCGGACACCAGGTGAGCTCGAGATCTGAATTTACAGGGTGAGGGTGGACGCCTGCCCAACTGCAGCTTTGCCCTTCCCTGCACTGCTTACGCTGAAAGCTGCCCACACCCAGGAGTGGCCTCAGCCTTCAGATCCCGGAGGGAGCTGACGGCGGGTGGGGACGCCCGGGGCGCGGTTGCAGGACGGGGCGGGGAGCGGCGCCCTCCACCTGACCCGCCCGGCGCCTCCCTGGAGAGGGAGACCTACTGGAATCCTCCCAGAGCCGGGACGCCGCGCGGCGCCCCCCGCCCTGGGATAGCGACAATACCTCTACCCCTCGGCGCCTTCCCCTCAATGCAAGGACAATTTCCCCATCTCCTTAGGACAGTGACACCCGCTTGTACCGCCTCCTTGGACTGTGGCAAGCCTCCCATCCCCTCCTCCCAGTTGAATGACACCCCGGGGCTCTTATTCCTCAGACCTGTGACAGCCCCGCACCCCGGGAACCATCTTTTTCCGCGATGTTTTCCTCCCCAGGATAAATGCCCACCACTCCGTCGTGTGTCTCCCTGGCATTTCCTTATTCACCACTGTCAGGTCCCTCTGCTGTTTTTCCTCTTACAAACCCTGACTTTGCCATACTGAAACTCTTTCCCCCAGGTACCCCCAACCAGCCTCGTTGCACCTGAGTATACTGTCCGGCTGTTGCTGCCGGTTTGTACCCTTAAGTAAATATTCCATGCCTGTCCTGGGCCCCCACCTCTGCTTCTCTGGTGCCGGAGCTCTCTACCACTTGATACCTATGAACTTGGTTGTTTGCCCAGGGCTCTACCTCCATTTTGCCTTTCCCCTACCCAGCCTCTTTGGGACTGAGAGATGGGATGTGTCCACCACCTTCAGAGACCTCTTGCTGAAGTGGGGAGACCTTGAGGGCCACAGTAATAGGCTTTATTTTACAGTTTAGGAAAGTCTGCTAAATTACCTCTTGTGAAATTAATACCAAGGCTAATCCAGGAGATCTAGAACTGAATTAACTCTTTTCGCCCTTGCAAACAGTCTGTGTTTATTTGACCCAAATAATGCAGATAATTCAGGCATCCTGCCCCTCAGTTGTGGGCTCTCTGGCCAGAAGTGCTGTGAATCTGGAATCACAGAATTTCCACTGGAACAGTCTCTTAATGTTATGTACCTGCACCCTAACCACCAGCCCCTTGGAGCTGAGAGGGAGCCTCCGCTTTTGAAAGGGGGATGGTCAAAAATAACTTAACTACTAAGCACCCTGGGTTGTTGAAGTGTAGTCTGCCAGGACTGGGGCCTTTCTCCTTTGCACTTTTGCCTCCTTATCTTGCCTGGGATAGGTCGCAGCCACACTTCTGGATTCATGTCAGGGCCTAAGGCCTCCTTTCTTTCCTCCTCCCCCAACCCTGCACACCCTTTCCTGGAATGTTTAGACTTCTGTAAATTAGAGAGCCAGAGATTCAGGCCCTGCCTCCTCAGAAGGGTAGGAGAGACTGACACTGGGTGCTCCTAAAGCTGTCCCTAAGGGTTCCAGGCCTGAATCCCCTGGAGTAATTCCTGCCGCCATTCCCGCAGCCGCAGGCCTTCACAGTGACTCACTGTTGAGAGCCTGAGTGAGAGTCTGCACAGGAAGGGGCCTGAAAGGATCTTTGCTGAGCTCAGTCCTGTGAAGAGGGGGAGGGGGCTACTCTCTGGGCTCAGTCCCAGAAAAGGGAGGGTCAAATGGCCATAGAATCCTGGACCCAAGTCCCTTACCACCATTCCTTTATCCCTTCCAGTATGGGATAAACAGGAACTGGAGCCTGGCTAAGGGGAGGGGCATGCCTGCAAGGGCTGCAGGATCACTTGCTGAAGGGTTGAATCAGGATAAAAGCCCAGACTGTGTGTGATCTGCACAGCCCCACAGGGGACGTTGGCAGG